TTTTATGTAACTTAGGCCATGAGGAACTAATTCAATGTACAATAGACTATGATTAGAGTTTGGGGCTTTTATAAATGCTTGGAAATCCCTGTAAAAAAGGGAACACTATACTAACAATTTGGAAATATAACAAAAATTTCTTGAATTTTAAGTAACATTTTAATTGACAACATATGCCTTCTATTTAATTATATTAAGCCAAAATGTTCAATGGTTTAAAAAAACCTCCCCCAATGAACGAGTGCTTGCGCGGATGGGTTGCCCTCGGCCTTGTCTCTGAAAGACTTTCTCTCGCCATTCGCCTCTTGCTTGTCAGCATTCAAATTCAGTTTCCTAAAACAGCTCACCAGACTGGACTAGAGCCCACGGGTAGACAGATCAAGACCGTACTCGTAAAAACTATAAGACATGGCTGTTTGTTGTTGTTGTTGTTTAGCATGGAGTATTTTCGGCTGCACAAAAGCCTTGTGGGGAAATACTGTGGGTGCCCTGACATGAACCACAGCGGTGGCACCTAAGGACACCAGTGTGGAGTCACTGTGTCACTCTCCATCCTCTCTCACAGTACAGAAATGTCACCTTGATGACCAGCACAGCTTACTGTATTTACTGCATCTCCTTCGTTAGGGACATCTCTTCATACAGTGTGATGCAGAGATAAACGTGCAGAGGTAAACACTGCTACTCCACACCCTGACGGCTGAACAGGGACGTGCCTTGGGTGTGTTACAGGCTGTGTTTCCATTGTGCTTTTGACGCAGAGAATGACATTACAGGCCAACTGGGATCACTGAAACCTGAGCATCTACCAGAAATGAAGAATGTGAGTTTGAATATAAAGGACAACACCTAACAGGTTTTGGTGCTAATATTGAAGAATCTGTGAGTACCCTTATGAAAGTCTGCAATGTCCCTCATAAGTTCAGAGGCGCTAGCAAAGTATCCACATCCTTGCAACATCTTATCCATTTCCCACTGAGCTGGCATTTTAATACATATCTGTCTTCCAATAAGATGGCAAAGTCATAAAGGAAGGAAGTATTTTATACTCATCTGTGTCCTTTTTAAATCCCAGCACTGGATTAGACACAGAATAGTTACTTTGTAATGTTTATTAGCTACCCTGGCAGTAACTGAAATGGGAAGTGTGCTTCCAAAGACACAGTACTGGTACTGTAGGCTGCCCCTCACTGCATCTGCACAGACACAGTACTGGTACTGTAGGATTCCCCTCACGGCATCTGCACAGACACAGTACTGGTACTGCAGGCTGCTCCTCACTGCATCTGCACACACATAGTACTGGTACTCTAGGCTTCCCCTCACGGCATCTGCACAGACACAGTACTGGTACTGCAGGCTGCCCCTCATGGCATCTTCCACACAGTACTGGTACTCCTCACTGCATCTGCACATGGCCAGACTCTTCGGCTCCTGGTTTTCTTCTCCATATAACTTAGTCAAAATTCATCTTGTGAGCTTTTTTTTATATGAAAAAACCAAGTATTTGCTGCAAATTTAACCCAAATTATCAGGATAAATAAATCCAGCTCTTTTTATGTGTTTGAGTGTGTTATCTGCATTCATATACATGTGGACCACATGCATGGCTGGTGCCCATGAAGGTCAGAAGAGTGGGTCAGACCTCTTAGAACTCAAGTTATGGCTGGTTTTGAGCTACTAAGTGGGTGCTGAGGATCAAATCTGGGTCCCACGTAAGAATAAATGTTCTTATCCACTAAGCCTTCTCTCCAGTCCCTAAAAAAAAAAAATGTAATAAATATTTACTGACTATAGCTCTAAAGTAAGGACTGGCAAGCTTTAAGCTAAGGTCCATCACCACCAAGAACAGGATCCAAATCAGATGGAGCAGCGTCAAGACACTAAAGGCCATCACTAAAGAGATCATAGGTGACTGATGCTGCCAGACATGAAGGAGTGACTGGGATAGACATGGGCATCTTTTCAAGAATTTACAAAAGCTGGCCAAAATAATGCTGTAACTACTTTCAGACAATAGGACACACCCAGACCAGAATTAGGGAGGAATTGAGCACAGCAGCCTAAAGGATGAGAAGACTCTGGAGCACAGGGAGGCGGAGGCAGCAGGAGCCTGCAAGACAGAGTGCTGGGAGCAAGCTATGAATCAGTCCAGGCATTCCCTGGAGTGTGGTGCTGAATCCTGAGATACTGAGGACAATTGCTGGGAGCTAAGAAGCAAACGATTAGCAGAGGACTCGGAGACACTTGAATTCTACCCATCCAGAGCCAAGTGAAGCTGCTGAACCTCCAGAGAAAAATGAGAAGCAACATGATGCTAGCCCTACTAAAGGCTACTGTATTAGTCAGGATTCTCTAGAGGAACAGGATTTATAACTAGAAAGAAGAAAGAAAGAAAGAAAGAAAGAAAGAAAGAAAGGAAGGAAGGAAGAAAGACAGACAGACAGAAGCTATATACGTAGCAAGAGGAATTTTATTGGAATAACTTGCAGGCTGTGATCCAGCTAGTCAACAGTAGTGGTCTACCAACAGAAGGCCCAAGAAATGAGTAGTTGTTCATGAGGCTGGATGTCTCAGTTGATCTTCAGTATACATGGAAATCCCAAAAGAGTAGGCTCTGAGACCAGTGAAGGAATGGATTTGCCAGTGAGAGTAAGAACAAGCAGGCAAAGAGCGAAAGCTTCCTTCTTCCATGTCCTTTATACAGGCTGACAGCAGAGCGTGGGCCCAAATGAAAACTGGATCCTCCCTCAACAAATGATCTGAATTAAAGCTGGATATTCCTATCTCAAAAGATCCAGAGTAAAAGTGGGTCTTCTACTTCAAATGATTCAATTAGGAAAAAAAATCCCTTACAGGTGTACCATGCCACTTGGGTTTTAGTTAATTCCAGATGTAGTCAAGTTGACAACTAAGAATAGCCATCACAACTACCCTACACCCACCCAAATTACAAAGCTTATCAATACTAAAAATAGAGCCACCTAATCCACAAATTATTTGGTTTCCCAGCAAAACAAATTTCAACTCTCTTTAAAAGTGTATTTGCCTAGAGCCGGGCGGTAGTGGCACACGACTTTAATCCCAGCACTTGGGAGGCAGAGGCAGGCGGATCTCTGGGAGTTCGAGGCCAGCCTGGTCTACAATAGTTCTAAGACAGGCTCCAAAGCTACGGAGAAACCCTGTCTCGAAAAATAAAATAAAAAATAAAAAACTCGTCGGTTTTCTATTGTTGTGATAAACACCACAAACAAGAGCAAATTAAAAAAGGAAAGGGTCTGTTTCCACTCAGAGGCTGCAGTCCGTCTATCGAGGGAAGTCAAAGCAGAAGTGTGAAGCAGAAGCCATGCAGGAACACTGCTCCCGGCCTACTCTGCCACTCTTCCCGTCCAGTCCAGGCCCACCACTGTGGGCTGTGCCCTTCCACATCAATTAGCAATGAATAAATGCTTCATAGACACGGCCGGTCTGATCAGGACAATTCTTCAAATGAGGCTACCTCTTCCAAGGTGTCTCCAAGTTTGTTTCAGGTTGACAGCTAAGGAAGCCAACTACGACAGAAGACAACAAAACTTGAACTGGCAACATAATATACATGAGGAAATCAGACTAGAAGGACACTGAGAAAAGGACAGCAATGACAGGCAATGATGTTAAAACAGATACCAAAACCATGCTTCACCGACTCCAGGATGGAGAAGGGGCTGGCAAGATGTACAACGCAAGCCTGATAATATAGATTATATGTTATATTGGCATATTATATAATATATATTTATGTGCCTATTATATATAATAATCTTTTTTTTTTTTTTTTTTTTTGGTTTTTCGAGACAGGGTTTCTCTGTGGTTTTGGAGCCTGTCCTGGAACTCGCTCTGTAGACCAGGCTGGTCTCGAACTCACAGAGATCCGCCTGCCTCTGCCTCCCGAGTGCTGGGATTAAAGGCGTGCGCCACCACGGCCCGGCCTATATATAATAATCTTTAAAAATGAATAGGAAAACATAAAAATAAAACTTAAAAAAATGAATAAGAAAACAAGAACATGACAAAAAGAGAAATGGAAAAGTGGACACAAAAGGTTCCATTTAATCCTGTTGTGTTGTTGAAACAGCATAGTTACCAGAAATTTTAAATTCACTATATAGAATTGACAGCAGATCACAATACGACAAATGAATTTAAAAACACAGCACAGAAACTACTCAAAGTCATAGGAAAAAACACACACAAAACCAAGCCCTATGTGATTTATATCAAGCAATCTCATCTACATGTAATTGACTCGTAAAAGGAAAGGAGACTGGAGAGCGGGAAATACATGAAGAAATAGCAACAGAAACTCTTCCAACTTGACACTTAGATCCTTAAAACTCAATCAGGATAGGCATAGGCAAAGAGAAAAACATGTCAAAGCCCAACACAAACTGTTCAAACATAGAACCATTTAAGGAAAAAGAGAAAAGATACTACGCCACTCCCCTGGCTCTCAATACATCAAAAAGTAATAATAACTCTAGCCCCAAAAAGGAATGAGCATTGTTCAAAATCTTCTACTTAAAAATCACCAAGCAGAATTCTTCCTGGAAGGCCTTCCTCTGCTGGTGTCCCTGGCATCTGCGGACCCTATGTGCAGCATGATCAAGCATGAACTATGTAAAGTAAACCAACGGAAAGTGACAGTGAGCCAGCGCATTCGCGTACCTTCTGGTTCACGTACATCATGAACTTTAGATCGCATGTGCTCCGTCAGGAACCTTACTGCCCTTGTTCAGGAACTTCTAGGGCACCTCTGAGTGGAGGCCAACTGCACTGCATGGTACGCCAGGTTACAGAATAGGATGAGAAAATGTGTCCAGAGGATTAAATGCCTATCTCAAGAACATGCAAAGGGCATCCCCAGAGTAATGCAACCACACCGTTACCTCAGAGCAGACACACACACACACACACACACACACACACACACACACACAGAGTGAGTTTTACATATCACTTACTCTGAGTCTCCACAAGGTCCAGGGCAACACTAGAAACTGTGTCCATTGCAGAGCTGATGCAGGCTTGGAAGTTTTTTAAGGAGGAGAGAGCGGACTCCACACCACTGAAGGATATGTAACGAGTGGAACCTGAACTTGTACTGGAACGCCCTGGCATCTTGAAATTGTTACCTAAAATTTCAAACACAACGAGAAGAGTTCTAAGTCAGGAAAAAACCCTATGGGAAAAGAGCACAGCCGTAACACTCCATGATGACTGCACTCAGTATCCATGTGCTACCCAGTTACCTGCAGGCAGTGCCCAGAGAACACCAAGGCCATCAAACACACACACGCAATATAATGTGGGGACGGGAACTATCTTCAGTTTTTAAGAAGGAGAACACCCCCTATCTTGATGTTTCAAAGAACTCTACAAAACCCAGTTCTTACTAGCCTAACACATATAGACGATAAAGACTGTCCATGACATATTTCCTTTTACAACAAGAAAGAAAATAAAGCTTAATAAATTTTTTAAATCTATAGCTTTTAACTTACCATATATATATATATATATGCATTTTGAACTCTTAAAAAAAAATCTGGTTTTGATAGTTCCTTAAGTTCCAATAGATTTGCACCTGCAATTATCTCAGATTCAGTAAAAGCAGGATTTCTACATAGACATCTTACCTCACAGCGGTTTATCTATTATAGTTGTAGTTACTACCCTCATATTAAATACTCCCTTATCTATTCCTTTAAACACCAACTCTTTAAGCTTTGGACCCCTTGTCTACATAGACATCTTGGCTTTTTTCGGGAGCCTCCTGAGATCTGCTCCATTGAAACAACTAGAAAAGTGCAGCACTCGTGCTGGCTTTAAATGGCAAGCAGGCTGCTGCTAAAGCTGCACGGCACCATGAGGGAAAATGGTTTCTGGGACTCAGAGAGACAGAAGATGAACTCAGGCTCATGGGACAAGAGGCCAGCTGGCAAGTCCTTCGCTCCTCTTCGAAGGAAGAGGCCACACTGGTGGTGCGATCTAGCTTCTGGTCCACAATCTGCATCAGAACTCACTCTTGTTCTTCCTTTCTCCAGCACTTCCTCCTCTCACAGAACCAGCTTCGTTTCACACCTCAGCTGTCACTGCAGCTTCTCCACTACTGCTTTCAACTGGGTTTGTTCCCTTATTCCAAATAGGAACTAAAGGTCTCACCATGTAAATTCTTTTTTTTTTTTTTTTTTTTTTTTTTTTTTGGTTTTTTGAGACAGGGTTTCTTTGTGGTTTTGGAGCCTGTCCTAGAACTAGCTCTTGTAGACCAGGCTGGTCTCGAACTCACAGAGATCCACCTGCCTCTGCCTCCCAAGTGCTGGGATTAAAGGCGTGCGCCACCACCGCCCGGCTCTCACCAGGTATATTCTAAGGCTCATTTTAAAAACACAGGGTAGAAAAGGGGGAGAGCACAGGGGGCTAAAGCGCTGGCTTTTACCTTAGTGGTATCAGGTTAACATAAATAGTCACAATACCACAATTGCTGATTCAAACAACTTGTCTAACAAACAAGAAGTATCGTCCTAAAGACCAGGCAACTTCTCTGAGCATGGGGACACAGTGGTTTTCAAGGTAAATACTCCAAGACTTTTACTTTCAAGTACTACTTGGTTTATTCTAATTCAGTGGAAAAACTGCCATATGCCAGGCAGCGTTCTATGCCCCAGAAATGTTCAGCTTCTGTTCCCTGGGAGCTCTCCAGTTCATGGGGCCAGACGGGCAAATACGCCATGGAGACAGCACAGATTACTTGTACAATAAAGGGACGATAAAATGCCTGACTTAGCCCTCACAATGAGGAAAAGGTATATAAAATGCACAGCACAGACAGCTGCAAAGAGCATACAACTCTCTAGGCATCTACTTGAGTTTTTCTTGTACAGAAAATGGGCCCTATTTCTGCCTTTGGTTCCTCACAGGGTCTCACTATATAGCCCAACTGGCCTCAAACTCAGAGCAATACTCTTGCCACTCAAATGCTGAGATGGTAGTCATGCCCAGCCCACAGCCCTGGCTTAGAAATACCCATGACACCTGACGCTACAAACTCCTGATGTTTGCTCGCCCACTTGCACCGAAGACTCAGATTGCTACTTCACTGAGAAAACAGAAACCACCACAAAGGTTCCCTCCACCCTACCAGCCTCAGTTTCTGCATTTTGTTTTTTTTTTCTCCTGTTGAGTGACCTAACTGTGCCTAGGCAGACCACCTCCACTTTACAATTAGACCTTCTCCTTCCTTCTCTCAGCAATCCTCCCTACTTTTTTATATCACCGATCCGCTCCTCCCCCACACCATTCTCCACAGCAAACCAAAGACATCTTCTCTCTTTAATCTTAAAAACATCCTCCCAGCCGGGCGGTGGTGGCGCACGCCTTTAATCCCAGCACTCGGGAGGCAGAGGCAGGCGGATCTCTGTGAGTACGAGACCAGCCTGGTCTACAAGAGCTAGTTCCAGGAGAGGCTCCAAAACCACAGAGAAACCCTGTCTCGAAAAATCAAAAAAAAAAAAAAATCCTCCCACCTCCCCTCTGAGAATGTCCCATGCTTCTGTGCTCATGCTGGCGGCCAAGCTCTCCTATAGGCATGTCCCCAAATCCTTTCTCCCTGTCCTTACTGGCACGTCTGCCAGGCTTCCCACACCTCCCGCTTCACTGGACCAGCTCCCAGGCCACCACTGGAGTCCTTATCCCTTCCTCGGGGATCAGCATCCTCTCTTACATGCCTTCAGCCTCTCATCGCTTCCCGTATCTTTCCTGTGAGCTGTCTAGAGTTCCATTCACAACTGCGAATCCCCTCCACACCCCCAGCATGTATATATTCTTCACTTCTCCCCTCCCCCAGTCTCACCTATCTGCTAAGGTCTGAATGTCTGGGTCCTCAGCCCCAATTTCTATGTTGAAATCCTGCTGTCCAAAGTGGTGGTATAAGAAGATAAGGCCTTCGGGGAGGTGACGAGATCCACCCTCCAGAACAAAATTAGTCCCCTTAAAAAATTGGAGCTTCAGAGAGCTCTCTTGCATTCCTCCCACCCTCCCGACCACTGAAGGAAACAGCAAGGCCATGCCATTTACAAAACAGAAAACAGGTCTTCAACAGACACTCAATCTGATGGTAAATCGGCCTTGGAATTCTCAGCCTCTGAAATTGAAAGACAAAAGTTTTAAACTGTTGGGACATAGTATCTGATATAGACATCTGAACATTCTAACACTGGTCCTCAGGCCTTGGCTTGTTAGGACCTGGGGGCTCACCCGCAGGGAATATTCAACACCATGTGGAGACATTTTTAGTTTGAGGGACATGGACTAGTATCCACGGAGCAGAGGCCAGGGATACTGATACAATCCTATCATGTGCATCTGTCTCTCGCTACAAAGAGTCATCTGAAAACATACCATCATCACCACCTAGGTTAAGACACACTGGCATAAGGGCTGGAGAAGATGGCTCAGAGGTTAAGAGCACTGGCTGCTCTTCCAGAGGTTCTGAGTTCAAGTCCCTGCACCCACATGGTGGCTCACAACCACCTATGAGATCTGGTGTCCTATTCTAGCATGCAGGCAGACAGAACACTGTGTATATATAATAAATAAGTAAATCTTTTTTAAAAAGTAAAAAAAAACAAAAACAAAAACACTGATTTACTTCAACCTCTTCTCGGAACCTCTTTCCAATAACGTTGATCTTTTTGTTCCCAGGACCCATAGCCTCCAAGACAATCTACAACAGAGTCATGCGCTTCCTGGGGTCTCACCAAGTTAATCAGGCTCAGGACACCACTTTAGCTCCCTTATATTCCTGGAAGAGCTGCTGTCAATTATGCCAGTTATTCACGTAAACAGGGCAACATTGCTCTGCATGTTTCTGTGCAGCACCGTAGTAGGCACTGAGCAACAAAGACGAAGCTCGGCCCCTAACCTCCCTTAAACCCAAGGTGGCAACTTCAACAGAGTTGTGTCTCCTTTTCCGGCACGCCAGCATAGACATACACACCCTTCAAGCCTTCCCTCGCCCGTGGCTCCTTCCCGTCTCCTTGCCATCACAGTTCCCACCACATATTTCTCCTACAAAGCCAGTTATTTGCTTACATCTGCCAGTCCCTTACTCAGGGGCCTCCCTAACCTGGAACAGAAATTAGCTGCGAAACGACCCACGAAAACGAAGAGGTCAGGAAGGATTTGCTGAGTCCACCAAAGTAACAACAAAAACTACGGCCATTTCCAGGTCTGCCCATGCCCAACAAGGTGAGCCCCCGACTTCGTTCACATCAAGGCAGTAGTTCACAACTTACCTCTACCTGCAGAAACGAAATAGCACCTGTGGTCTTGAGTACATCTCAACCAACTCTTCAAGCCTCTGCTTTTAAAGTCAGTTCAAACCAGATTTCTTTCTTTTCTTTTTTTTTTTTAATCACACAGAGGTGAAGGATGAGAGGCTGCGGGGGGGAGTGGGGGGGGGGGGGGGAACCTGCCTCCGTCTCGCTGCTGCGGGTGAAAAGGGCCGGGCCCACAGCCCAAGTCCCAGGGGCTCAGAAGGAGGCGACAACGCCCGCCAACCCTCCCCCATCGCGGTACCTCTTCGATATTTACCTGGCAGCTCAGTTGCATCTACCTGAACGTCGCAAGGCCAGACTCCAAAACCTTTACTCAGCCCACTACTCCAGTGGCTGAAACGCCCCGCGCGCGCTTTGCGTCATCAGTCGGCGCCCGCTAGTGATCACATGATGCCTGGCCCGGGCCTATCCCCGCAAGTCATGTGATGGGTTGGGGAAAGCCAGGGCAGAAACCAGGATTCCGCTCCACCCTTTAGGGGATCTCTGGGGTTGGAGAGAGGGACCCGGGTCCTCAGTCTGCGCGGCGAGCGTCGGACGGCTGAAAGGTGAGTCAGAGGCGCGCCTGCAGTTTCGAGGTCCTTTCCCCTCAGCTCCCGTAGGCCGCGTCGGGTGCTGTCCCCGGAGCCACCGGGGCGGAGAAACCTAGGTCCTGCAGGGTTGGGGCTGCATCCTTGCCATCGCCTACGCCTTAATGGAAATCTCTCTTGAACGCATCTTTGAAGCATTAGGGGTGATGCTCAGCTACGTAGCCCGTAGCTGAGTGTGGAAGTTTCTCGAAGCGGTGCCCTGGTGATGGGGTTGATCTTTCATTTGCTCTCGAGAAAACCGAGTAGTCACTGACATGAAGGCTTCTACACGAGCGAAAGGGTTGAATAAAAGTTCTGTCACTCACTTTAAGTTTGGGCAAGTCTCTTCTCACGCCCTTTGATGCCCCTCACTCACCTAAGGTATGATGCTAAAGTTCTTTGTGGGAGGGGGGCGGCTTCTAATGGGTCATGATTCGTCTATGATAGGAAAATAAACAGTTGGTCTCCTGATTTTCTGTATAGATGTGGAGTAGTGAAGGAGTTTTATTGCTCCCATCCACAACCAGGGACGTTCTCCTTAAGTGTTCTTAAGGAGTCATGAATCAGGCTGCAGTGATCAAGCTTATTCCAGAACTTTTCTGGAAGAGCATCCATTCGGAATTTGAGATCGTTGCTTTCTTCTTTATGTAACTGAGGTTTTATGAAAAGATAAAAATAGATCCATCTTTTGTCCTCTGGGACAACAATGCTGTTCTTAAAAACAAGTTCCTTTGACAAGAAATTCTTTTATTTTTCTTTTTTTATTGATATTTATTGAGCTCTACATTTTTCTCTACTCCCTCTCCCCTCCCCCTTAAATCCTCCCCCAAGGTCCCCTTGCTCCCAATTTACTCAGGAGATCTTGTCTTTTTCTACTTTCTACTTCCCATGTAGATTAGATCTATGTAAGTTTCTCTTAGTGTCCTCATTGTTGTCTAAGTTCTCTGGAATTGTGGTTTGTAGGCTGGCTTTCTTTGCTTTATGTTTAAAAGCCACTTATGAGTGAGTACATGTAATAATTGTCTTGCCGTGTCTGTTACCTCACTCAAAATAATGTTTTCTAGCTCCATTCATTTTCCTACAAAATTCAAGCTGTCATTTTTTTCTGCTGTGTAGTATTCCATTGTGTAAATGTACCACATTTTTCTTATCCATTCTTCAATCGAGGGGCATTTAGGTTGTTTCCAAGTTCTGGCTATGACAAACCATGCTGCTATGAACATAGTTGAGCACATGTCCTTGTGGCATGATTGAGCATCCTTTGGATATATACCCAAAAGTGGTATTGCTGTGTCTTGGATAAATGCCTCGAAATGATATACCCAGATGTGTCTCTGACTTGTAATGTTTGCAGTTGTGAAAATATCACCTAGCAGGGTGTGTTGTGCAGTTAGGTTACACTAGGTTGCACAAGCCCAGTAGCCCTGATGCCGGCTCAGAAATGAGCTGTACCCTCCGTCTTTTTCCATGAGAAGTGAGCAAAGGCTGGAAGAGAGGCCAGTGGTGTGGTTCTACAAAGGTCCTTGTGGTGCTAACCTTTATTCTCAACCGGCTTTGAAATCACCTGTGAATCTGCCTTTAGGGGTGTCTTCAGAGGGGTTCAACTGAGAAGGAAAGCCTTTCCCTGAGTTTGATGTCATTCCAGAGGTTGGAGTCCTAAACTGAGTAAAAGGGAAGAAAGAAGGAAGTGACCTAACACCACCAATATTCATCTCTCCCCGAATATTGGGGAATAAACGCCTTCTCCTCATACCAGAGCTCATTGACATAGTTTTCCTGGGTTGTATATGTATTTCAAAAGCATATACACACATTTCTTTAAAAAAAAAGTTAACTTTTCTTTTTTCAATACAGGTTCTTTTAATGGATCAGCCATTTGGTCTACGGTCCTGGCTTCCCCTCATGATCCACAGACTCCAGCTCTGAGGCCATTAATCATTCCCACCATTGTGGTGTGGAGAAGTGGGTCGCCGTCACGATGCTGGACTTCCTGGCTGAGAATAACCTCTGTGGCCAGGCAATCCTGAGGATCGTTTCCTGCGGCAATGCCATCATTGCCGAGGTGCTGCGGCTGTCTGAGTTCATTCCAGCTGTGTTCCGGCTGAAAGACCGGGCTGACCAGCAGAGATACGGAGACATCATATTTGACTTCAGCTATTTTAAGGTGCTTTTCCCAGTGGCCTTGGTATTCCTGTCAAAAACAAAAAAGCAGCTGTTCTCTGGGAGCCGCGGGGCTTGAATAGGAAAGTAGTTATGGAGCATTGAAAAGACAGCTTTTCAACCAAAGGGAAAGGAAGGATACTGTGTGGTGGAAAGTCCTAACACAACATTTACAGAGAGCAACCTATAACATAGTGCAGTGCCTGAAATACATTTAAAAGCATGCTCATCTTGACTGAGATTCACCCATAGGCTTTTACATTCTAGGATTGCATGGCCATCTTCTGTTGCTCTGCTACGTAAGAACCTTAGAGTGTAATGTTAAGGCACCCTGGAGCAGTTTCCAGCCAATAGGCCTTTAATGACTTCTAACACAAGTGTGTTTTCCTTCTTAGGGTCCAGAGTTCTGGGAAAGCAAACTGGAAGCCAAACCTGAGCTACAGGATTTAGACGAAGAGTTTCGGGAAAACAACATAGAAATCGTGACCAGGTTCTACTTAGCCTTTCAAAGTGTACATAAATACATCGTAGACTTAAACAGGTATTGATGGATGAATTTCATGACAGCTTATTCTGGTGGACTAGCGGAGAAGGAGGGACCCAGCAGAACATGTATGCCATTCTCAGAGCTAACTCGTCCCTGCCATGCCTTGTGGTAGTTCATTCTATCTCCCCTCCTGTAACAGGTCCTAGTAAACTCTTGTGCAGTCTTCAGTTTGTGATCCTGTGCTAACACTTTAAATGTAACATTAATTTGCAAACAAGCATTTGTTGTTTTGTTTTGTTTTAATTTGAGACAGGCTTTCACTGTGTTTCCCAGACTGGTGTTTAGTTTACAATCTGCCTGTCTCTGCCCCCGAGTGCGTGGAATGATAAGCCTGTTCCATCAGGCTCAGCTCATATTAGTAGTTCTTAAGAACTACTTACCAATCACACACACACACACGCACACACGTTTACCAATTCCTTGACTTTAGCCACTATTCCTTGTCATGTTCCTATTCCATTACTTCTGAGCTGCTGCTGTTTTGTAATTCAAGAGTAGGGACTATTCCTTCGATTTTGAAGATCCATACGTGTTAACCTGTGGCCCCAAATCACCATGAGTTACATCTCTAGGACCCTAAGGTTCATAAGCATAGCAAACACTGCAGAGGAACTAGGGCCAGAATGCCTGGAGTCCTGCCTTATCTTTGAAAAGTCTTTCCTTCCTCAAAGCTGTTACATCTTCTGTTTACATTAATATCTTATCCTTGCATTTTGCTTCTAGATACCTTGATGATCTCAATGAAGGAGTTTATATTCAACAAACTTTAGAAACTGTGCTTCTCAATGAGGATGGAAAACAGCTTCTAGTAAGTATTAGTGATTGGAAAGTAATATATTCAGGAATATGAAACAGCTCCATGTGGTAGCATGTGACTTTAATCCTGCACTTGGGAGTCAAAGGCAATTGTATCTCTGTGAGGACAAGGCTAGCCTAGTCTATGCCACAAGTTCAAGGACAGCTAGAGCTACATAATAGAGAAGCCCTGTCTCAGTAATAATAATGGTAATGATAATATGAAACAGCATCAATGCATGCAGAATACCATTCCACAAAGAAAAGAAGATGGCCTAATAGTTATCTTTCAAGTTTAGAATGTGTGAGTGTTTAATGAAATGAATAATGGAAGAAAAGATTATGTTGTGTTATGAGCTTCCTTTGTATAAGAAGTCCTTCTTTGGTGTTGGGGATTTAGCTCAGTGTTAGAGCACTTGTCTAGCAAGCATAAGGCCCTGGGTTTGGTCCTCAGCTCCTGGGGCCGAAGAGTCTTCAACAAGGCAGTGGTAGAAGCCTAGTATTTGGGAGTCATAGACAGATGGATCTCTGAGTTCAAGCCCAGCCTACTCTATAGAGTGAGTTCTAGGACACCCATGGCTATGCAGAGAAACCCTGTCTCAGAAAAAGAAAAAGTCCATCTTCTTTTTGCATCCAAGACATTGGTGATCATTTAAGAAATGTCTGTCAGAGCCAGTGTGGTGGCCTTGTCTATAATCCCAGCACTTGAGAGGTAGGAAGAGACAGAAAGATTAGTTCAAGATCATCTGTATTCAGAGAATTGAGATTTTATTTTGGTATCACAAGCAAAATAATCACTAGGAATTAAAATTGGTTTGAGTCCATTTTTAAAGTCCATTCTACACAACAGTTGAGAGCCCTTTGTGGAAAAACATACATTGACTTTAAAATATAAATCCAACTTTATTGGGGGCATGTGAGCAGAGTGATCATTTGTACCACTGTCAACTTCAATCCTTGCAGACAGGTCTTATGTGTTGTAGGAGCTGCGGGGCTGCATTCCGCCACCCAGCTCCCGCCACCAGCTAGCTTTACCCGAAATAACAACACACAAATTGTATTCTTTTAAACACTGCCTGGCCCATTATATCTAGTCTCTTCTAGGCTAATTCTCACGTATTAATTTAACCCAGTTCTAATAATCTGTGTAGCACCGCTAGATGCGCTTACCGGGAAAGATTCAGCATGTCTGACCTGGCGGCTTGCTTCATCGCTTCTGCCCAGGAGAGGGGAGCATGGCCTCTGAGCTCACTTCCTCTTCCTCCCAGCATTCTGTTCTGTTTACTCTTCCCACCTATGTT